GGGCGGGTGTGAGACTCCGTCCTTGGATCCGCCTCCCCCGTCCCCCAGCAGTGAGCTCCTCAGCGGTAGCCTGTGCTTGGCCATCTTTGTGTCCAGCCCTGCTTGGCCCAGGCCTCTTAGCAAATGCACTTGGCAACTGAAAGTGCTTTTATGTCCACTAAGAAAAGGGTCTCGTTGAATCCTTGGCTGGATCTATCATCCCTGCTTTGCAGGTGAGGGATCCTGGGAAGGGAGGCCTGGAGGCACACCCAGCGTGCTCAGCGTCGCAGCTGCACCCCTCCCTCTCTGCCACCAGACAGCACCAACAACTGCGGGAATACACGCTCAGGGCCACGAGCGAACACCACCAGGCTGCGGGAATACACGCTCGGGGCCACGAGCGAACACCACCAGGCTGCGGGAAATACATGCTCAGGTCAATTACCAATGCAAATAATTCGCTCTCTGGAGTGTAATGTGCTATTAACTTGTGTTTTGTTGGTGTGTTTTACAGACGAGAAAATGGAAGCCCGGAGAGGTTAAGTAATTTTCCCCAGGTCACACAGCTAGGAAGCGGTGGAGCCAATCTGAACGTGGGCAGTCTGAGTTTATAGATGCTGGGAAGCAAACTCTACACAATGTAGAATACGGAGGAGGGGACAGCGCTCAAAGTAACTGTGAGCAGCTGCCCAAGGCCTGTTGGAGCCCAATATGGGCTTCACCGCTGCTGTCCAGGCCTGTTTATGTATCCGACTGTCCGCACAGACACTAGCCAGCAGGAGGGAGAGGGAGCCTCGGTCTGGCAGACTCAGACCAGACCCAAGGCTTGGCTGGGGGGAGGCAGAGGGGAAGTTTCCTCCACGCCGCTGGCTCCCCTGCCCGCCCCAGAACGCGCCTTGGCTCAGCCAGGGACCAGGCCTTCGGGGCAAACGTGCAGCTTCATTTAGATTTGATGGTTCGTTGGTTTGCAGCCGTGCCAGGCGCTGCTTCGTACGTTACAGAGAAACCGATTTCCTGGTATTCTCGGGCACTGCGCCGTTTCATTAAGGGGACTTTGCCACACGTTCAGTGATCCAATGGGGCCTGTGGGGGGAGGTGGTTGTGCCGACTGGTGAGAGTCAGAGTGTGTCACATCTGATCCCCCACGGCCATGTGGGGCGGGACAGGTATTTCCAAGGTTCTGGTTCTCATGGCGGTGAAATGAACACGGTCACACAGAGCAACAGGCCCACTCCAGAGGAGAGCCCAACACCTGCAGACCAAAGCAGTGAGTGAATGAGTGAGTGGGTGGGTGAATGAATGAGTGAGTGTGTGAATGAGTGAGTGAGGGAATGAGTGAATGAGTGGGTGGGTGAATGAGTGAGCAAATGAGTGAGTGTGTGAATGAATGAGTGAGTGAGTGAGTGAATGAGTGAGTGTGTGAATGAATGAGTGAGTGAGTGAGTGAGTGAGGGAATGAGTGAGTGTGTGAATGACTGAGTGGGTGGGTGAATGAGTGAGTGAATGAGTGAGTGAATGAGTGAATGAATGAATGAGTGAATCAGTGAGTGAGTGAATGAATGAATGAGGGAATGAGTGAGTGAGTGAATGAATGAGTGAGTGAATGAATGAGGGAATGAGTGAATGAATGAGGGAATGAGTGAATGAATGAATGAGTGAGAGTGTGAGTGACTGAGAGTGAGTGTGAGAGTGAGTGAATGAATGAGAGAGTGAATGAATGAATGAATGCATGAATGAATGAAAAATGTGGCCCTGCCAGTGTTGCAGGGACCAGCCGCAGGCTGTACCAAAAATGAGCTTATGGCCATGTCCAGGCTTCACAGTGGTTGGCTGAATGCCCAGCTTCGGGACTCACATCAGCCTGAGTCCAGAGACTGGATCCGGCTCCTCCCGGGAGAACTCGGGCAAGTCCCCACCTTTGCCCTTGAGAACCTTGATGGCTCCACGACGTGCGGGGACGGTGACCACAGCGCCAGCAGCAGTGAGACCAAGGTCTGCGGTGAGCCCAAAGCCAGCAACCCGCGGCCCGGCTCACGGTCAGCCGCGGGACGCGTGAAGGGCTATTACATTCTCATTTTACTATTGTTTAATAAACCTTGTTTTTTAGAGTAGTTTTAGGTTCACAGCAAAATTGAGCAGAACGTACGGAGTTTTCCACACATACACTCCCTGCCCCTGCGCGGGCACAGCCTCCCTCACTACTGTCATCCTCGCCAGAGTGGGACGTTTGTCACAACCTATGAACCTGCAGGGACACAGCATTCTCACCGGGAGCCCCTAGTTTACATTGGGGGTCACTCTTGGTGCATAGGTACGGTCTATGAGTCTGGACAAATAATGTCCCCACCATCATAGTATCATACGGAGTCGTTTCACTGCCCTAGACGTCCTCTGTGCTCTGTCTACTCATCCTTCCTCCCCCCGCCTCACCCCTCACCCCTAGTGACCACTGATCTTTCACTGTCCCCCCAGGTTTGCCTTTTCCAGACTGTCCTGTAGTTGGAATCATACAGTGTGAAGCCTTTTCAGATTGGCTTCTTTCACTTAGTGATATGGGTTTAAGTGGACTCCACGTCTTTTCATGGTTTGAGAACTCATTTCTTTTTTAGTGCTGAATAATATTCCAGTGTCTGGATGGGCAGTTATCTGTCCATTCGCCTACTGTACAACATTTCAGTTGCTTCCAGGTTTAGACAACGGTGACGAAAGCTGCCAATAACAGTCATGTATAGATTTCCGTGTGGACACATGTTTTCAACTCATTATGGTAAATACCAAGAGGGGGCAATTGCTGGATCGTGTGGTCAGAATATGTTTAGTTTTGCGAGAAACTGCCAAATTCTCTTCTAGGGTGGCTGCACCATTTTGCATTCCCACCAGCAATGAGTGGGAGTCCTGTTGCTCCAGGTTCTCGCCAGTATTTGGTGTTGTCAGTGTCCTGAATTTTGACCAATAAGTATATAGTGGTATCTCGTTGTTGTTTTAATTTGCAATTCCCTAATGACACATAGGATTGGGTCATTTTGCTATTGCTATTTAATACCTCATGGGGTTTCCACAACAACTATACGAGCAAATAGAAAAGTGATCATTCAATAAACTGTAGGTTACAAAGGAAAGTACTATTACTGACCCAGCATATTGAGTCATCTTGTTCCCTGAGGCTGCAAGACTCAGGGTCAATTTGGTGCCAGTGCCTGCTGTCCATTCAGGTACAACTCAGACCTGGAGCTCACCAGCTTATGTCATGATTGTCTGTCTCCCTATCTCTCTCTCCCACTTCAGGGAAGCTCCCTGAGGCCAGGGCTAGATCTCCACATATGTCTCTCCCCAGCACCTGGCACAGGGCCTGATACTCAGCAGGTGCCAGGGCATATTTTTAAACTACACTGAAAATACTGAATGAACTGTCTCATACTGAATTTTGGCCCCACGTATAGACTTGGGTTTAGAAAAAATTAGTCAGAGAAATCACAATGTGGCATTCAGAGCTGGTCACTCTCTCCTCTGCCTACCCTCTGCACCTTCCAAGGCTTCTGCTGTGGTTGGCTGTGCTGTGACAGATCAGAGTGTGGTCCTGCCCCCTCCCCCCATTAGGATAGGAGCATCATGGCCAAGATGGCTGGGTATGAAAATGAATGCAGCAGATGCATGGAGATGAGAGTTTGGGCCTGTGTGCTCTGTGAGTCCAGTCCCTGCCCTTCTCCTTCCAGAACCAACCACTCCTCCTCCCTCACTAACATAAAAACTACATTAAAAGGATGGAAGAAAAGGAAAGGAAATAAGATAAAATACAACAAAAAACAAAATATTAAAACAAACACTGTCCTCTTATTTTCCCTAATAGGATGGTAGCAAAAAGTGTCACAGGGAAGGAAGCCAGTTGCCACTGAGGAAAATTTCTGAGACACTCCGTGTTACATATTTTCTAGTATGTTATAGTCATTCATTAACTGAACCCTCTCAAGGCCCCGTGGAGGAAAATGACAACAAATGCAGGAGGATTTGGGTCACTCAGGGCCCAGATCCCTGTCCCAACGCTGACAGACTTAACAGAGAAAAGAGAAGTTTACAAAAAGGGAAACGAAGCCCCTGTCCTGTCACTGTCCCCAGGGCCCTGTGCTTCCCACGCTCACTCCCAGCACATTTTCCATCAGACGCTCAACTGCACGTTTGATTTATGGTGCCTTTGACTTAAAACCCAACAATAGTATAATTAGAAGGTTCAGAGGAGGGTGCCGGAGGGAGAGCAATTATTTGCTGAAAGATGAATCACGATGAAGTTGCTCCTCAGCTGGTGTGTCTTGTGCTTGGAGCCTGCCGTTCCTGACTTGTCGACACGAAAATCGAAAGGGAAGTTTCCTCCAACCACCACAATTCTTGCCTTAGAAGAGGCCGTTTATAGTTTCTCTGCTTGGGGCTGGGTTTACCGGGTCCCGCCCAACCCCTTTCCTGCCCCGCTTCCACCCAGAGAGCTGGGAGGGAGCCTCCTGGGACCCAGGCTGGTCAGGAGCCCTGCTGTGCCCAGAGCTGCAGCCTCGGGGCAAGGGCCCCCTCGGAGTGGGGGCAGGGTGGGGTGCTCAGTGGGCGCTCAGGCAGGGGCTTGGGGATGAGGGTAGAGGGAATTGGCACTTTCCAGCCCCATTCTGGCACTAACCCATTTGATCCTCACGGCTACACATGGCACTGTCCTGCCAAAGAGAACATTCCAGAAACAGGGAGAGGGGAGGTGACTTCACCATGGAAAAACCTGGCAGACACCACCTCAGCCAGGTGACGGGGTCAACAGTGACAAGTCATGTTGACAGAGGTGCCCCTGACACAACATGTTGAGCAGGGCGCTTCACCTCCGCGGTCTCTCTCCCCAACACCCGTCGTCCCCGTGTACCTACGAGGACACATCAGGTAATCCCAGTGGAAGAACAGTCTACAGGACGCTTGACGGCAGTGCCCAAAATTGTCATGATTATCATAGATGAGGAACGCCTGGGCAACTGTCGCAGGAGGGAGGAGCCTAAGGAGGCCCGTGACTAAGCATAACGTGGCAGCCTGGGTGGATCCTGGGCAGAGCCGAGCACCTAGCACGCAGGGAGGCGTCAGCTCGCAGCAACGCGAGGACATCCCTCTCCTCTGACGGATGCCCCACACCGAGGTGAGATGCCACATGGGAGGAACTGGGCGTGGGCTGTGAGAACACTCCGTAACTGTCTGCTACTTGTCTGTAAATCTAAATCTAGTCTTTAAAAATTATTTTTTTGTTAAACAAGTTTTAAAAAAATAAATAAAGCTAGCTGCAACTTCAGACCTAGGAAGGCCGCCCAGGAGCCAGCGTCTCGAGCAGACACGTTGCCTCTGTCGTCTCAAGGTAGAGACTTGAACCCTAGTCAGCGCATGAGAAAAGCGAGGTCAGAGAGGGGCCATAGGTTCCCTGAGGCCACACAGCCAGCAAGGGGCGGCCCAGGGAGGGGAACCCAGCCGGGTTGGCCATGGATCTCCGAGCTCTGCCTTCGACCACCTGGCCACACGCATGTTCGCATCAGCAGGACACACACGCACACACTCCACACAAGCACACACTCGCGTGCACGCTCCCCGTGTTCTTCAGCACCGGCCTCCGCCAGCCTTGCGAATCACTTCCAACCAGCCCCAGATCTCAGGATTTGCACTCACTGTCCTCCCTCCTCCAGTCCACCCCCTCCTCGCCCACTGGCAGCTCTCTGGGCTCCCGAGTGTGACGCAAAGACTGTCAACAGCCTCGCCGCCCTCTGCCAGCTTCGAACCCGCAGCGGTGGGGAGCAGTGGAGGAAGGAGAAGGGGCGGAGGGGGCTTGGCTGGAGGTACAGTGCAGTGGTGGCCGGGAAACCCTCTCCCTCTAAAGGACACGAGCACAGGGCCCGGCGGAGCTGCTTGGCAGGGTGGCCACGGCGCAGTGGCAGACCTAGAAGTTTCGCATAAAGGTGTGATCGACTGCAGGAACCTGCGTGTGGCGCTTTCCCTGTCTGCCCCCATACGCTACGCTCCCCTGCCGACAAGCGATTGGAGAGCATTGATTTGTTTATTTAGTGAACAGTTGCTGAGTGTCCCCCATGTACCGTGAACCTGTCTGGGTCGCCCTCTAGCCACAGGAGGGCAGGGATGACCGGGCGTGCGAACTGTTTCCACCAGGCCTGGGGACTGCGGCGGAAGGCCAGAGAGTCCTGGGTTTAAGTAGCTAGCGAGTGATTAGGTCTCAGGACTCAGGGCAAAGGCCCGGGTCACTCTGGGCCAGGGTTCCACCATCCTAGTCCCGGGCTGTTGAATGCTCTCCCCGAGCTACAGAGAAGTTACTGCCAAGAGGGGCGGGCGGGCCCACCAAGGCTCGGACAACTGCACAGCATGTGGCCCAAACCTGAGCACAGCAGAAAGGCCTCTCGGGAACTTTCCAAGCCATTTAGCACAGGACCCCACCTTCCTCCTCCGTGTCTAGTTCCGTAGACGGTCCCAGTCAAAGGCTGGCGTGCGTCTCCGGGACGCCATCCCCGGCTTCAGTGAGCAGCAGGGCCCCGGGCCAGCGCGGCCCGCCTGCCAGGAGCGCACGGCGGGGCCCTCACAGCATCGGGTCACTTCCTTCGCGTCACAGGAAGGTGCCGTCGGGCTGGAAACAGCAGGCAGGAGGCGCGACCTTCAATTTGCAGGGAAGGCCCTAAACAATGGGTCCTGACACACTTGCCTTATTTCTGCCTTCACGCAGAGAAAGAGGTAACTAAGGGGGGACAGGGGATGACCAGGTCAGAGTGAGGGTGCCACAGGGTCATTCCTGCCAGGAGGGGACCTCAGAGCTGGCGGGGTCATGGTGTCCTGCCCCAGGCTGGGGTCTCCCTTAAGCAGGGACCAGCCTGGGAGTCCCACACAGGAGGAAGGCGGCTCCATGGGCTGAACGACAGTGTCCGCTGAGGCCTTGGCACCTGCAAGTCTCCTCAACCCACGACAATGTGGGACATCAACAAAATACAGGCGAGC